TTCATGGCACATCAAAGACCAGATTCAAAAATGAGAACATATTCTTTATGAAAGATGACATTAGCACATCACTTTATTTATACTTGTTGAATAAGAGAGAGGAAATTAAGCTTATGTCTAAACTGAGACTTAGCAACCACAAATTAGAAATAGAGCTAGGACGTTACAAGAGACCAAATACACCAGTTGACAACAGAGTTTGCAGGATGTGTAACATACTTAGAAGATGAAATACATTTCATTACATCCTGTAAACTCTATAATACAGATCGTGAGAAACTATATATGGTCTTCACTGAACAATTTCCAGTCTGCCAGTAATATTGAAAAATTTAAGTATATCACGAATACATCAGAAATAAATCTCATTAAACATGTTATTACCTATCTTAAATCATCTTATACTTTACATGCTAACTTCCAAGCACAATGAAAATTTTCTTCTCTTAATCACTATTAGTACTGTACCTAGTAGTAGTTGTGTCTTTTTTATGTGATTTAGTTAATTCTTTTTCTTATACTTTTATTACAATTAGCTAAAATTGAGATGTAATTTCACAATACGGCGTAATAAAGTTATTATTATTATTATCATAGGCGACATAAATAAAGTGTTCAAATTGTGACCATGAGTACAAGTGCTAATACTGAGAGCTTCATGATTGGTGGAAATGTCAATATAATCCTGAGCATAGTGTCGCATACGACGTTTACCACTTCCGTGTGACTGAGAATGTTCTAGAACCGTACTGTGTCTGGGTAGAATTTTTAGAAGTTGGTTGAATAGGTAATAGGACATTGTAGAAGGCAATAGAAGGTAATGGAACATTCTAGAAATTTGTAGTAAATTCCAGACTCCTTATGTATGCTGATGTAATGGTCTATTTATAGACAGTGGGGGTACATGTATATATAGGGGAGTTGTTCAGCACTGAGTTCAGATCGGAGATCTCGTTGAATTGTATTGGAGTTTAAGTATCCAGTCATTGGAGTAGTGAAGTTTTACCGCGTTATTATACTTGATGTTTGCAGAGTATAATAATACCAGTACCAGTTGAAACCTGCATAATGACACTGCTTTCAAATTGAAAGTTGTGGCTATGTCTATTTAGACGAAAAACAACCGAAAACGGCCAACATTTCGGTATCAACGAGAAGCAAGTTCGTCAATGGATCTGATCAAAGGAGCAACTGTACATGGGTAAATGCAGTGCTATGCGATTAGACAGTGGAGAACGTAAAGTGAAAAGTACCACACATTTCCGGGACGGAACGATGACTCTCGGCGGCTTCTCATATGGGACTCCTGCAGCGTACAGCTCACACTCGCTGTCAAAGAGGAATTGTATTCTTGGAACATGGACATTGCAGTGATTCCAGGAGGAATGAATGGATGAAGACGGGCAAAGCACTGTTCACACCGGCTGGTAAAAGAAAGGCCCTTGCTAAGAAGACGGTACTTGAGTGGGTCGTCTCATCGTGGAACAAAGTTCCGCCCCAAACTGTCATCAATTCATTCAAGAAGACTGGCATATCTAACGCACTTGGCAGTGAGGACAACGAGGAGTACAAAGATCTCGAGGTAGACGAGGCAATCGGAGAAGAGATCGCCAAGATATTTTATAGTGACAATGAAGATGAGGATGACGACTAGTTCCTTGGATTTTAAGCAAATCTCTGTGGTTCTTCACATACAAACCAAATGGCCCTTTTCAGGGCCACCACATCCTCCAAAAAGAGTTATACTGCTACCATGTGTGT